TATTTTTCTTGCCTAGTCCTCCAGGATGCGCTGATGGGCTGCACTATGACTATTCAGGATCAGTGCTTGACCAAGGCAGGACACAGAAAACAGAGGGGTGGAAAGCAAGTTTTTCCCTGGGAATGAAGTAGTTTCCTCTCTAGAGAGGGAGGGTGTTTATTTACCTTCTGGCACTGTGTTTCCAGGATTTTCAAATGCATCAGCACTAGGTCTAGCTCTGCATTTTTCGATCTCAGATAACACCACTGCATGGGGTGTACACTGATTGGCTGCTCACTGGAATTTTTTGGTGAGTTTCTTTAATGCACTGTTTTGGGCTTGATGTGTGTTACAGCTCCCTAACKCCCCCCCCCCCTTTATCCTATAACATCATTTCTATGAGCCAGGAGAGCTGTGGCATCTCTCCAATAGAGGCTGGGTAAGTACTTTTCTTTTAAAAGGGGTTTTTAAGAGCTTTGGGGGAGGAGGTTGGTATCCCCCCCAGTTTTCCGGGCTAATTTAGCCCAGAAAACCATGGGAATACTGTCTGGACTGCAGTATTCTGCAATCCAGAGATCATCAGAAGTAGTGGTTTGAACTAGATGGTTCAAGTTTCTGGTCTTTTTTAATGGTTTGGTATTAATAAGTCTTACACTTTTTATGTAGATTATAGAAGCCCTAAATGGTTCGGGACCTGCTTATCTCCACGATCGCCTCTTCCCCTATGAACCAGTGCGTACCTTGAAATCACCTGAGGAGGCACTGCTCTCTCTCCTCGCACCATCTCAAGCACGGTTGTTGGGGACGAGGGAGAGAGCTTTCTCGGTGGTGGCCCGTCAGGTCTGGAACTCCCTCCCTATGGAGGTTTCAACCTTGTCCTCTTTTCGGAGTCAACTAAAAACCTGGATGTTCTGGTGTGCTTTCGATTGAGCAGCTCACCAGTAATTTTCCTGTCCCAAAATGAGTTTCTGCACTTTATTTCAACCTTCAAACGGCCTACCTCAACATGTTTTACGACAGCACTTCCCGCCCAATCTACTAGTCTGTTGCACTTTTCTTGCACTCCTGCAGAATGTATTGCACTCATTGAATTGTACCTCAGCTATGATTTTTTTCAGCCATATTGTTCCCATGTTGTTTATAATTGTGTTGTATTGTTTTTATCTGATGTTTTAATTGTAGTGTTTGATTGCTGTGTTTTAATTGTAATTTTTGGGCTTGTCTCTTGTGAGCCGCCCCGAGTCCCCTAGGGGAGATGGCTGGCGGGGTATAAAAATAAAGTTGTTGTTGTTGTTGTTTGTAGTGGATCAATTCTCGTTTGGCCAGGACATTGTCTGGACAGCCCCCTTTTTATTGTGGAAGTTAAAGGGGCTGTCTAGATCTACCCTTAGATAGCATAGGGAAGGGCTAACACCATGTGCCCGTTTCACCTCACTTTCTGTGCCTGTGAAAATTGGATTTTGAAAAAATTGGCTTGTTGTGGAGACAAGGATTGCTGAGAAAGCTTCAGTGGAGACACTTTTCCCCCGTGATAACTCTTTCAAGAGTGAATTTCCCTTTCTCTCACTTCCTGTTGTCTCACCCCCCATTCTTAACTGTGAGTCGTTTCTAAATTGATTGTTTGTAACTCAGGGTCTGTCTGTATAAATCTACAAGATCAACTTTTTTTAAAAAACAACCAAAATTATTGCATTAGCATGTTTAAGAAAGGATCAAAATACTAACACTTCAAACTTGAATAGGTGGATAGTGATTATGTTAAGCCACTGAAGTACAAGTGAGTAGAAAAAGGAAGTCATTTCTACTAATTCTGATTTGTTTTGCTTTTTCTGAGAACACATTTTTGGCAGAATATTTTGAAACTACTGAAAATTTGCCCTTTGTAAAACTGTAATTTATTGACTTTGCAAACATTAATGTACTTGAATCCTACTGGGCACTAATAGTTAAAGATCTAACCTGACAGGATCAATGCTTTTACCACAAGGCATAATCTTCTCCAGCTCCTAATTCCCACATTTATTTACTATTGGTTTTTGTACAAACACACATATTAAGACATAGTATGACATGTTAAGAATTTGCTTTAGCACAACAACTGATAGTGAAAATATGGCTGGTATGTTCAGGAGCTGAGAATGGTGGGATTTTTTAATGCATATGCATGCACCTGCACCCTCTTGCACTGGATTTTATGAGCTGTATTTCAAGGGTTAAAACTAATAGCTAGACTAAATGAAAGTAGATCAAATAAATATTTGAGATATACATAGGTTTTGGCTTACTGTTTGGCCAGGTCAAAGTCTCTCAAACTGGAGGGACGGATTATAATTTTTTTTAAAAAAATGAATGAATTCTGTGCACACATATTTTATTTGTAGTGCAGAAAACACTTAAAATACAATAATTATAATGTAGAACAATTTAAACAAATATAAACTTATTAGTATTTCAATGGGAAGTGTGGGCCTGCTTTTGGCTGATGAGATAGTGTTGTTGTTGTTGTCGTGTGCTTTCAAGTCGTTTCAGTCTTAGGTTGACCTTGAGTGAGGGCCGGGTAAATGACCTTGGAGGGCTATATCCAGCCCCCAGCCTTAGGTTGGGGACCCCTGCTCTACTTCAGTTGGGATTAAAAACAGATTTAGGAGGAACATTTCTCAGAGAATGGTTTCAACCTTAGATATGCAGATGATACCACTTTGATGGCCGAAAGCGAGGAGGAGCTGAGGAGCCTTCTTTCAAGCTGAAAGAAGAAAGCTCAAAAGCTGGGTTGCAGTTAAACATCAACAAAACCAAGATTATGGCAACAAGAATGACTGACAACTGGGAAATAGAGGGAGAAAACGTGGAGGCAGTGACAGACATTGTGTTTCTAGGTGCAAAGATTATTGCAGACACAGACTGCAGCCCGGAAATCAGGAGACACTTACTTGTTGGGAGGAGAGCAATGACAAATCTTGATAAAATAGTGAAGCGTAGAGACATCACACAGGCAACAAAGATCCGCAGAGCTAGACTATAAGGAAGGCTGAGCGAAGGAACTGTGGTGCTGGAGGAAAGTTCCGAGAGTGCCTTGGGACAGCGAGAAGATCCAACCAGACCATACTTCAGGAAATAAAGCATGACTGCTCATTGGAGGGAAGAATAGTAGAGGCCAAGATGAAGTACTTTGGCCACATCATGAGAAGAAAGGAAAGTTTAGAAAAGACAATTATGCTGGGGAAAAAGGAAGGAAAAAGGAAGAGGGGCCGACCAAGGGCAAGATAGATGGATTGTTTTGACCTATAAAGTGCTGATTTTGACCTATAAAACCCTATACGGCTCCGGCCCAGCGTACCTGTCCGAACGTATCTCCTTCTACGTCCCACCTCGGAGTTTAAGATCTTCGGGGGAGGCCCTGCTCTCGGCCCCGCCTTTATCACAAATGAGGCTGGTGGGGACGAGGGACAGGGCCTTCTCGGTGGTGGCCCCTTGCCTGTGGAATTCACTCCCCGGGGAAATTTGGTCGTCAACATCCCTCCTCTCCTTCAGAAGGAAGCTGAAAATATGGATATGGGACCAGGCCTTTGGGTAATCTGGCAGACTGACAAGATAATGACGACCAGAAATTGGAAAGGACTATGGTAATGCTGAATGGACTTACGGATATCAGAACTCGGTGAACGTTTGCCACTAGATTGGCTTTTAATTGTTATTGTTTCAATGGATTGTTTTAATTACTGTGGTTATTGCTGTTGTGTAATTTATCTGTTGAATTGTTGGCATCGAATTGTGCTGGTTGTAAGCCGCCCTGAGTCCCCCCTCGGGGGTTGAGAAGGGCGGGGTAGAAGTGCCTGAAATGAAATAATAATAAATAATGGTATCCTTGAAGTGACTGGATTGACTTTGAAGGAGCTGGGGTGGTGACGACCAACAGGGAGCCCTGGTGTGGACATGAAGTCACGAAGAGTTGGAAATGACTGAACGAATGAACAACAATACCCATATCCAACAAAACATGTCCACTAGAAAATTTCTACATTCTATGGTGTGTGACTGGCAGAAGTTAACAAAAGAGTTATCCTGACAGATCTAGCAAATTCCTAGAGAGAACACTCTACAATACATTTAAAATATTATTGCTAATGTTACAAATACATGAGAAAAATCTCAGTTTATGAAGAACACTGTATGACCATTGGGCGGCAAAAGTCACAATAACCATAACTGTAGCCAAAACTTAAGTTTCTGCACCAGTCTGAGGGAACCCTTAGGACAACAAGAAACAAAGGAGGTCACTGAAAACCTCAATCCTTAGGAAAGGGGATCATATTTAGCGTTCTCTTGGGCCTCTGAGATTTTTTTCAGGCTCAGTCAACATCATTTCAAACATAGCTCCATAACCACAAAGTAGAAAAGTTGTACTGGAGGAGGAGAAGGAGGAGGAGAAACTGTGCTGCTTTTGAAATAGATTTTGATTCCAATAACACTTTCTGTGCCTCAGCTCTAGAGTGTGCAAGAAACCACTTATCATAGTCAAACCCAATGGGGATTCTTTTATTTTAATGTTTAAGTTATAGAACATTTAGAACTCATGGATTTAGAAGCGATGCCAATGCCGCATAGAAACAGCGCATGTCCTGGTTTCAATTTAGGCTTTTGTTTTCATTAACAAGTCACGTTTCTGAGAGGCTCCACTGACACATAGGCCAAGGACCGAACAGAGGATGCACACAGAACTTTCGTGCTATGAAAGAAAAGAAAACAAAAAACAAGGTTTGCTTAATAGGTTTTAAACTAAAGTCATAGCTAGTGTTTTAGAAGTAACTCACAGAGTGTGGGACATGCCAGTTAGATGCAGAACAATTAGCAGAAGCAGCAGGGGCATCTTTCCAATAAACACAATGATCTGAGGATAAGCAGCTGTAAATCTGCATTAATTGTTTCAGGAATTCCACTATTTACAGAAGCACTAGCAGAGTAAATAAACGGGAAGCAGGAGAGAGAGAGTCTGACAGAAATAGGAAAGCAGCTAGCCTTACCTTCACATTGTTTTCCTTCTCCTTTATAACCAGGTTTGCAAATGCATTTGTAAGACTTCGGTGTGTTTTGACAAATTGCGTCGATATGGCAGTCGTCCGTCCCTTCTGTACATTCGTCAGCATCTGTGCCATACGGCATTGGGGGGGGGGGGGGGCGATAACAAAAGATCTCATCAAACCCTTGAGTTTCCACCAACAGAAGCTGTCTCACTGTGTTTGTACCAGGTATTATTATTAATAATTAAACTTTATTTGTACCCCGCTAGCATCTCCCGAAGGACTCGATGCGGCTTACAAAGGCCAAGGCCTCAACACAACAACAATAGACAATAACAATACAATGCAAAGCAAATTAAAAACATAAGCAATAACAAAAACAAAACATTACACTATTACGCAATAAAACCAGGGCCGGGCCAATGAAGGGTACAGGTTAAAAAAAAAAAAGTGCTGAGTGTGAGAGGTGATATGTTGGGATTCTGGGCAAGTGCAATGTGCAAAGAGTCTTAAACTCTAATAAAGTGCTTCTGGGACGTAGTGCTGGGGGTTATCCTATTCTGGAAAGGCACATCGGAATAGCCAGGTCTTCAAGTTCTTCCTAAAGACTGCCAACGTGGGTGCTAGTCTAATGTCTTTGGGGAGGGTGTTCCAAAGTCGGGGGGCAACCACAGAGAAGGCCCTGTCCCTCGTCCCCACCAAACGAGCCTGCGACGCAGGTGGAATCGTGAGCAGGGCCTCTCCGGTAATCACCATAAACAAAAACAATGTCACAGCGGAAACATATTCTACATGCAAAACACAAATCCTCAAATTGATAAAAAAAAGGATCTGTTTTGGGAAACAGGACTACATATACGTGGCTACGTGTTTTTTTTAAAAAAAACAAACAACATGAGCCCTCTTAAATAACTGAGTATTTTTTAAGGATTACCGCAGAAAACATTGTCCAGTGTCGTAGATTGTATTTTTAAAATATATATTTTTATTATTTTATCATGGTTCAATACATTTGTTATACATTGTTCGCTTTACAGCATAGAATGATAGAATCAGAGTTGGAAGAGACCTCATGGGCCATCCAGTTCAACCCCCTGCCAAGAAGCATGAATATTGCATTCAAATCACCCCTGACAGATGGCCATCCAGCCTCTGTTTA